AGATAGCGGAAATTGGTTCGTAAATATTAATATTTAGTTTCGCTTACTATATGAAATTTGGAAATCCATTAGGATATGTAAAATTATTATTTATATATCTTCATTAACGCCCACTGACTTAAAAAAATAATACGTTGTCTTATCCTCATTATTGATTGATTGATTTAGCAAACAGTACAATGTGGTTGAGAGGAGTCGGCAGCAAGTCTCTTGTCAGACAATTAATGGTGATTATTGGAAAAAGGTACGACAGTAAATGTTACAGTCCTGAAAATGACATCCAAAATTATCATTAAGAATAATTATTGTTTGTAAACAATACGTCAATAGAACATGTGAGAAAACTTTATACTGATACAGAATATGTCCTGATCTGTTTTCATAAATTAATGCTAACTATCTTGGTACTTTTGGTGACATTAAGTGATGCAAGAATAACGTACAGCAATACAAAACTTTTATAAATACCTGTTTTGCATAGAACAGGAATTTAGTCTAGAAAAAAAACGATTAATTGTAAAGTTTCATATTTTCTTGTCATTAATATCAAACCTGTCGAATAACTTATTGAGTGCCATGAACCTAGTAGCTTAGTAAAGAAACGTTTTGGTGTTTGGAGTGATCAGTATGAATTTTCAGTGTGAACATCGAATTGAGAATACACATTCATTCAGTCGACAAATCTAGCTGTTACCCTAGATTCAGATATGCGACTAAAATAAATTGATTTTTATCAGTCTAGTATGCATGATAATCATTTTTTAAGGATAAATGTAAACTATCAAGTGAGATATATGACGAGGTATTCTCTAACACTCTACTCAATAATTAAAACAATATTGAACTAATAAAATGTGACTAGATATGAATTCAACTAATTCATTAAGCTGAATGGATAACTGATCATCTTTATTGATTTCCAAAACATCTAAGACTTTGACTCTCATATTGTTCAGATTTAGGAATTTCTAACCAAATTGTTTGTCAATCACCTTGAACTGTATTCTAATGTCTTTATCTAACTATATTTAAATAACATTTGAGGGTGATCAAATGACAAGCATTGACAGAATGTTCAGATCATTTAAGTTTCTCAGAAGAATGTCATATTATTTAAAGTGAAGAGAAATGTAGCTCAGTTTGCTAGTTATTCTGCTTTCACACTACCAAGATTCATTATTTAGGGTGAGAGTCAGCAGTTATTTCTCAGAACAATATCTGATGGCTTGGTGTATGATAATATAAGTAATCAATGTATTATACACTTTCTTGTTGTTATGTACGAAGTTTAAATTTGTTTTGCTACATAAACGATGATAAACTAAACTAAAATCCGAGAATAAAAATTTTTTTACTGCGTATGTATGTGAAAGAGAAGTGCAAAAAACAAATTCGTGTTGTAAGAATAGCTATCAAAGCTAATTATGATTAAAATGTTTATCAAATGGAATAGCAAATGAGATTTAGTATTCATATTGTGATACCTTTCGTTTAGTATCAATATGACTCTCGTTGTAAAGAAATGAAGATCAATCATTAGATTGCTAAAAAGAAACAATAGAGATTAACAACTGTCTCACTGTCACTGAAATCAAAACTAGAAATTTCTGTTGGAACTTTCCTTCAAATCCAAAACCTCAATATTTCGATTAACCAATATTATTTTATTCCCTAGATTTTATAAGTGATTCATTTAGGTGTTAAAATAATGTGGAACTTATTCTACATTGGTAATGAAAGAATTGACACTAGGTAGCAGATAGTACACAATGTCAAAAGTTGTTCATTAGTAAGGATTTTATATGTTGTGAATAAGTTCACTTATTCAGCCAATGTTATTATGCATTTGTTGTCGACATTTATTCGTACGTTTTTATGGCAGACTACTTGGGCGGGGTCTGCGCGACTCTCATAAGGAGTGGCTAGAGACTGAGTGATATAGCTCAGAATTGATCACAATGGTATAGGTGCTTACACTCTTTGTCTTCACTTAAACCATGAGATTAAAATTACTTCATGCCTTTCTTTCTACGAACTAAATCCCCCCCCATATATGTAATCTCTTGTTTATCTATTTCTACCATTGAAGTAACTACTTCCATGAATTTGGTGTTCATCTTGTTGTGCTAACTGGGTTTGGCAACTTGAACCGATGCATATATATGCCTGATCCTACGTTATAGATGAGCGAGTGATGTCATCAATACCCAAAACAAACTTAATAGATAAAGAAACTGTTTCAAATTTTGTATCGCAAACTTTGGGGAAATAAAATTGAGCGAGTACATGACTAAAATCAATTCTCTGTTACAATATTTTCAATTTAACAAATCGATATACCACATCACATGTTTGTGGGTAACTTATTTAAACTCAATAACAACGGTCTTTAATAAAATAAAACGAATGAACAAATATACTTATAAATGTACTGATGCTTTAATACTAGCATAATATTCATTCAATCTTGTGATTCTGTCCTAGAAAGAAGCAATATACTGATTAGTTACATTAAGATTTTGCTGTTATATATAGTCAAACTATGATGAAGTTATCGAAGATCGTTTCATATATTTTGGTTAGTCTAATATAAATTAGATTGTTTTTAAAGTGCTTTATTGTGGCTTATTATTAACAAGTTAAAAAAATTCGTAAAATGAAAGATTACTCTGGGAAGCTGATTTTCACTACAAACTAATATAGATTGACAGTCAGGAAGCAATAAATTGTTATTTTGGTAGTGTTTCATTTTAGTTCTAGACTTTTTAGCGGTTACGACTCTACTCGAGGTTAAACACTCCTCAACGCTTGAAGCCTTTCTATTGTCTTTTAAGTGTCTTCAATCATTAAAAGAAAATATCTTACATTTACTTAACTATTCATAAAAACAACTCACTAAATCTAAAAGTTATTTATCTAGTTTTATCTAAACATCATCATAGGAATAATTATAATCAATATATGTGAGAAACAGGTCCGGTCGAAAATTAGTAATTTATCACTTGTTCAATCTTGCTTAAACGTTGATTTTCTTTACAATATGATTATGAGTCATTATGTTCAAATGAAATATAATTATTTCAAGTTGTGCAGTTTGCTACTGCTATCTAGAAGAAGTTATCCTTCATTATGGTATGTACTAGTCTTTTCCGGATTCTTTTAACAGCATAAAATCTTTTGGATGAACTTTGACGTCTGACTGTTGCTGTAGTGGAAGTGTACTAGTGAATGAAGACCTTTTTTAGATTAGATCAACGTGTAGTATTATGTAAATTACACTGTATTTGTAAAATATGAAAACAATGCACTAAATACACTATTTTTCCACCCTCCTTATGTCCTCTCTTTCATTACTGATGTTATTTTGATTGCTTTCTGTCTTTCTTTTCTGTCCGTTAGAAATCCTACTTTCAATTCCTGATATATACTACTTATATCTGTTCGTACACAAGTAGTATACATCATAGTGTCTCTTTGAAATATGATGTTTACTAAAACTTCTCAGATGGTATTTAACTTTGTTTTTGCATTATTCCTTCAATAATATATCTTGAATTCGTTTATACCAAAGAGATGATTAGCCATTTTATGCCGATTCATTTACTTATGTAACGAGACGAGTTGGTACTAATCAGTAAAATGTTAGCATTCGCGTATAGTTATGATAGCTCTCTAAAAGCATATTTCCTTATTATTTCGTAGTCTGTCAACTGTTTGATTTAGAAAAGAGTAATTTTGGGTCATCAGATTTCTTATTGAAAATGTAATACTTTCTGATACGTCATTTGTACATATGAAAACTAATCAACATTATAAAGTTATACAATAACAAGTATACCATCCAATTAAATCAGACTTATATTTTATAGATGGGTCTAATCTATCAAGGTTGTGACATAGAAACTGCGTATTCAGATACTAGTTATCTGTCATGATGGCTAACATAAAATTGGGGTGAGGAAATTATTAGAGTCGACTATGCCAAAGCGTGCGCACAGTTCGAGCAGTCATTCAACAATTGCCCATGCAGTACAGAGAAGTGTTGACTCCTTGGTTAGAATCCACGCAGAGAGTGTAGTTTTTGATAGACCATAAATAACAACTCATAATCGGTTTCATTAACTTTAAATCTTTAGTGTTTACATTACTCACACTGTTAATTCCTTGTACTTTCGAACGATACTCTCAGAATTTAGTTTTCCACCATTTTCACTGTTTTACTTTACAGTTTTATTAATTTTTTGTCTTTGTAATGAAAATTTCGGCGGGTGAATTTCTGTCACAGGTTTTACATTTTTTATAACTGACTAAGATCTAATCGGACTCATCGTTAAGGAATAATATTCGATTAACCGCATGATAATAAATTGCAGTATTTGAAAAGAATCATAACAGTAATTCAAAAACTAGAAATTTACAAATAGAGCTGAATACATTGTACAAGTATTTAATTCTACTTTATTTCAATTAAATACTTTATCTTTTCTCATTATTACCAAACACATCTCAAAATAATCTCCGTACTGAACAGTCCGCCCTATAGTTATTTCTTATGAACGTAGATCATCTTCAAGAGAACTGCATGGATTTGAGTAGGTTGTTTTCTCGTTAGAGATGATTTATATTGTACGATTTAGATACATTATCGTCATTAATACTATTTAGATGTACGAATTAATCATCACAATCTTAGTGTTACGAACGTCACGAATTCCGCAAACATCACGCTCCATAAATCAGTAGATTTAAAACGGATAAACCGACATCGTATCAGAATTAAACTACATCAAGTACATCTAAAGCTTATAGATAATACTCTTTGTTTCTAAATATTTAGCGAATTATATATGAGAAAGGTTTTTTAGATTGTTTCAATTAATCGTCCAATTAATAAAAGTAAAAAAACTGTGAACTAGGCAAATTTTAAGCTGCATTAACCCCGTATAATCACAGTTCTAGTTTGGGTTTTTAAACCACTTCCAAACACAAAACAAATCTTTCGACAAAAAAATCATCATTGTGACGACTTTATTTTCAGATGATGTACCAATATATATGAAATTATAATCTAAATGATAATAATATGATTTCGTTAACTTGTGGAGTAAGGTTAATACCACTGAATAAAATACAATATATGAATCGTCAAAATGATCAGAAAAAACGAAAATTATACAAGGCTAAAGGTCGAGCACATGTAAGAGATTATGGTAGAATTTTCCTTCAAATTTTGTAAATGAATGTCATTTTGAATATGAATATGACATGCTATGAGATAAAAATAAAATTTGTAAATCTATGTCGAGCATAACAAATTATACTGCACTCAGAAAGAAATGCCCTTGAAGTTTAAGAAAAACACAGACAAAGAAAGAAGAATATGAAAGCGTATAAGGAACTATGGCTCAGACGTTAAAAAAGATCTTAAAGCCCATTTAATGTAGACGTAGAATTAGCTTGGAATTGAAGATAGCTAGAGCTTGAGTAGTGGTAAACAGACAAATGCATATGCCTATGGATAGATATTGTTTACTTTTACAAATGATATCAAACAATTTATATAAGTTGTGTTCTGAGATTATACCATCTACTAAGCCAAATCACTCTCGTCAGGGAATACTTCTGGACAAACAGATTTTATTGTTATCAGCTCAAATGTTTGTGAAAATATTAGAACTTATTATATTCTATAGTAGCAAGTTTCGCATTTTTTAATTTACAAAAAAGTAAAAAAAATTACTTGTGACTGATATTAACGTGATTAGTAGAACTACACTCATAAATAGGATCTATGTCAGGAAACTGGTTTGAATTTCGTGATAAATGGATGCGATAAGCTGTATCATTCAAGACCCTACTATACTTATTTCTGAATCCAACTAGTTCTGTATTCACAGTTTGGCACTACTATATAATAACAACTGGGTAAAATAAAAACAGTTCGTAAGAAAAAAATTTATTGATGTTATTTTCTCAAGTTGTACAATGGTATCTACAGTTATTTTACACATATTAATGTATAATACAATTTAAAAATGTTGAGTCATTAGCACAGGTAACAAGAGTTAATCAAAAACTTTAAGAGTAATCAGAATGAAAACAACATAGAAAAGAGGTGTGGAAGTTAAGTGTTCACTTGGAGAATATATGGAGAAAAGAGACGGATACATATCATAACAATTTAAAATAAGGTGTTAGGATCATCGCTAAATAAGGGATTAGATATATCACTTTTGATCTCATAGACCAACCTTGAATTGACGAATCGTCAAACCCTTTGCTATACACATAATTTTCAATCGGATGCCCTTATAACCAGTTCACTTGACTTCATGAATTATTTAGAATTGAAACAGTTTAAAAATAAAAATAGTAGCTGGTTCGCATTCACATTTTGATAACCATACTCAGTAGTGTTCAGATATGCTTTTGGAAAGAGGATACATATTGAAGTTAACAACAACATATTCCACACGAGCAAATAAACTGACAGATGCACACGGAGGTAACCAAAGCAACGGTTCATCCTTGAATTAGTTACTGCATAATGCAATCCGTAGTTCAGTTGAATCGAGTATCTCACTCAACAATTTTGACAATGATTTCTTAAGATCACTGCAACTATACTCCCTCGCTTTAAGCTCAATATACAAGAACAAAATCTTCTTCAGTACTATTTCTTCTTTTTATTTAGCTCTCTCGTTTCAGTTATTTGTAAATGAATCTGATAAATTCCGTTTTTATGAGCATTTCTCCGACTCTGTTTAGTTTTTTTGCTGAGTGTGCCCTCTGTGCGAACTCTTGTGGTTCTCAGCAATACGGAATGTAGTAGGTTTATCTCTCTGCCTAGTGAAATCCAAATCTAGAAGTTCGTACGCTGTCAGTCTCATGTCGTTCTTCTATACACTGGTCTTTGCAGAGACTAATCCGGTTTCCTTTTCATAAAAACATAAAAAAAGTGAAATTCTGTGCTCAACTCTGACTTTCTGGTGGTACATGTGGAATTCTGTTGAGATCCCAACTCTCGTCACAGATAATGTAGATATCATCCATACATACCTCGTAAAAACAAGAGTCACTAACTGTTAATCGAATAATGGTATTTTCCAGATTGACTATTAAGCCTTCTGATAAGAGAAGACCTAGTAGCGACCTTAATGCCATACACATTTGTCTGTATAACTCATTATTAAATCACAATTATACACTCATAGTGTAGTGTAACAGCGATTTCTTTAGATATTATTTTGGAATCGCAATATTATCATTTGCAATGTATTCACAGTGAACAAATTGTCCCTGTGTAAGAGGAGTATTTTTGAGAAGTGAGGCGACATTTAATGAAGTCATTCTTTTTCCAAATACATTGGTGTCTATGGAAGTAAATTAATTGCTGGAGCTATGTTTATTGATCTGATCTCCAGCTATTTAAGGAATTTGCACAATTCAGTTGTCAGTTGCATGGTATAGGGTGTTATTTGTATTCGTTATAGAACAAAGAGAAACATTTTTCTTGTGTAATTTTGGCAGTCCATACAGACGTGAAATCGTAGAACTAACAATAAATCATCGATGATGATTATTAGGATTCTTCTGCATTTGTTCTATTCGGTAGGTTACATCCTTTTTTGTCGTTTCCCTGGAAAACTTGCGTGCATCCATTTTTATGACGAATAATTGAATTGCAATACATGAGGACGATTTTAGCACATTTATGTAATTCAAGCAACACTAAATCCCACTTCTTTAAAACATAAGTTATTTGAGATCTCCTTTCTTCTTGACAGGAGTCATGTTGTAGCATATTTTGCCCCTCTCTGTTACTTATCGGGTGTATATGAGTGTTTGATTCGGTCTGTTTTCGACACTTGATAACAGCGTCCCTTCACAGTAGTACGAGCACACTGTTAGGATTTATCTCGTTTGTCCTTAGATACGTCAATGAGTCCGGGTGTATGATCAACCTTTCATCAACCTCGTCCCTAGTTAATACATTTGTGTCCTAAGCTACGGTTTCACGACTCCATCTTCAATACGGTGAATGAGACTATTGTTATTGTCTTCTTCCCTGCCCCAATAACTGGAGTAAGACGTCCTGTTGCTGTATAGAGGCCTTATTGGTCAAAATTCAGTAGAATTCAAAATAAATTTAAGACAATCAGCTATATATTGGTTACGATGACTATAATTTCTGAATTGAGTTATCAATGTGCGTAAATCATAGTGAAAAATGCAATTGAAAGTTCATTAACAGAATTCAAATTGAATAAATTAATATAACTAAAATTCATATTAGGTAGATATTAACTTTATTCTAAGTTGCATTTAGGAATTTCACATCCATAACAGATTCCCACACAGATAACTGTGATAAGATGAAAATAATAACCTTCGCTAACAATTATATTCTAAGTTTAACGTTTACCTGTGGACAGATGCTACATTTGTAAGAAATTTCACGACAGTAACAACTATTATTTTGAGGCCTGAAATTTTCAAAGCGCCTATTTTTTATGCAAAAAACTTATTAGGTTTTCCTCATCATGAAAAACAAACAATTCGACTTCAATGTGAATTACATGACATGGTGAAGGACTAAATTAAAGAAATGGAATAAGCTAACAGTTTCTGGATTCTTGTTTTAAGTATTTTAGATGAAAAACAATTATGAAATGCATTTGCCCGAGATTTTATGAATTTCCGAGATAAAAAAAGCAATTTACTTATATACAGTGAAATAAAGTTGTTCACAAAAAGTCCTAGTCCATGAATTGATGTTACTCGGAACAAGCTACTTAATATTATTAAGTAGCCATACCACTTATCCTGTGCAAAAAATCCCTTCGGTTAACTATGACTTGCAAGTATGTCATTGAAGTAGATCATATTGGTCTGGATTTCCTTACATCCGACTGAATTACCGCATACTTTACAAGTGACCGGGTGATATTCCTTCATGACATTCCGGTTTGATTTCAAACTGCTTTCTGAAGATTTTTTCGCATTTTGTGGTTTTGATATCGTTCGAGATATGATTTGAGTTTCGTCCACAATACAATTGATAGGGTATTCTGTATAATATTGTGTCTTGAAATGTGGGTGCCTAAAATTAGAAAACCATATATAGTTTAAAATTTATTTATTCCTCAGTGTTGCTAATCAAGAACAAAATTTTAAAGTATTAATATAAAATAACTCATCACGCTTTAATATTATTCTAGTATGTCATGTTATAATGAGATATGTCTAATCAAATTCTTTATCATATTGATGCGATCCAAATCGCCTGATCCACTTAGCCTACCACGAAGATGTAAGGAGACGTTGAGTTATAAACCAGAAGTACCCCAAGATTAATTGTTATGCACCAAATCATCGTGAAAATGATTGACAGAGTAGATGTGAATGAAGGCATGAATGTGAGCGACTATAAATGAACGGAATAATAGATACAAAGTCTCACTCTTTCGCAAACACTTCAATAATTATGTTCTGAAAATAGTTGTTTGAAAACCCATAAAGGGTTAATGCTAAAGTTATGACGAAACATGTGGTATTATCTAAGCCAGTAATGTACTTAAGTAGCTAAAATCCTTTATCCTGTATGCACAATTTCTAGTTAGGGTTTAATAATACCGTGGGTACCTACATATCTAAAATCAAAGCCAGACATTTACGTATACAAGTAAATCTTCGCTTAACCACATGAGGCTTAAGGTAGATTTCGATTATTCCCAGTCGTTACAAGAAACTTAATAGCACAGAACTACAACACATATTTCGGCTCAAATAAAGCCCAAACTTACCTATGACTAACTAGAGATAACACAGACATACATCCAGGACAGTTAAGGATGGCATCAGATTTCTCGCTCGTCCCTCCAGGGAGATTTTCTTGCACCCATTTAGCATTAGCCTCATCTTCTTCATAATCGCAAAGTGGATCTTTATCTACTAGAAAGTCATCTGTATGCGTTGAAAACAAATCATTAATAAGCAGTAAAACATACCGTCATCGTCATGATCCTTTTTAAATCTCACTCTGAGATTTTTATTTTGCTTTTTTCCTGTTTTCAAATCCGGTGCTTTATGGTGAACGCTTCTGATCAGTAAATCAAGTTCTTTGTTCATTAATTCATCAAACTCCATAGCTTTAGCTTTGGAGATCTCGATCGCATTGACACTTCTGTTGTCATAACACAAATCACTTTAACGAAATAAAATGACACGAATGATGATTGATGGTCATAAATTACCTGGATGAACTACTGTCAGACTCACAACCATCATAATCTGAGGAGAACATTTGGCTGTAATAAAAAGAAACGCTAAACAAATTAAGTGGTAAATGCGGTCAGATACCAATCGAAACTTGACATTTAAAACAACTCTAAATAATCTGAAGTACTGTTTGGGCGAAAGCATGAAATAGAATGTCACTTTCGAAACTAAAAACCTTATATTGTAACAAAAAATGCCTCAGTAGTGTTTACAGTTAGAGATGGGTGCAACTAATAATGCGAATTCGACAACACTATTTAAACAAACTTTTTACTGTAGGTATCAATTTCAAGGTTGAATTTGACAGTTTCAAATAAATTGATCATTGGATAGAAAGTTAGTGGACAACATCCTTTTTGTTATATCTCAATGAGCAGAAAATTGTATTTCCGACGTTTTGCGACTTAATGTAAGCCACATCTTCAGAGCACATAAATAACCGAATAAAAATAACACAGGTTTAAATGGTAAAAAGGAAACAATTAAGATTATTTTTAGTACAATCAAAATCATAATAGTTCTGAATATGTCAATGAACTTCTCACAGTATACCTATCCAGTACAATGTAGTAGTAATACAGTAAGATGTATTTCCGCATATGAATTGGTCAAAAAGTTTACCCTATCGCAATCGACCCTCAAAGCTTTTTACTACAAATTACAACGTATGGATGTTAAATCTTATCTTTCTAGGTTATACATTACACTCATACATTTACCGATACTTATACAGATTATACTGTTTTTGTATGAGTAGTTTGGTTTTCAGCTTACTAAGATGAATTATTTAGAAGGCTTCCGATTCTGTATCTACCGTAAAATTCAGATTTTCTGTGGAACATGGTACTTAAGAAGTTTCTGATTAACGTTTTGCATTATCCTTAATCAAATATTTTCATGGTGGCTGGCTTCTGTGTATCTCTATACCATATATATATCAATTAAACAAACAAATTCTGTTTAATCATTAAAATGGTATTCAATTGACACAATAGATAATGATATTAGAATGACTTCCCAATAAACCGTCCCACAAATTTGTATAGAAAATCAAAATACACACTGTTATACCCAAAAAACGTTATTGATAAATTTATTTGGTTTCATATTCCTTAATTATGAGCATCCAAGGCAATATAATAAAGTTATATATATTTCACTATGTAAGTGTTCCACTGTAGAACAGTAGCGTATAATTTTGTTATGAACGAACTAACTAAACGAATAAGCCATTCTAAAATATATCTAAACATGAAAGATATTGAACACGTTGTTATTTAGCCTACCTAAATTAGATTAATCGACCTACAAAGATAAAATTTGACCTGAATATCGACACAATCAAGAGGATAGGCAATAACTCAGTTTTTCTTTCCGGAGAACTTATACGTGGTTGTTAAAATCGTAAACACACTATTATTTCTATACTTAGATGAAACATGGATAATAACATCTTTAATGCTTCCTAATAATAACAAGGAGTCAGACGAACATACTTATTTTTCAGAATGATTTGTAACGCAAACTCAACTGAACAAAGGCACCATTGATATCCAACCAACTCTCCACATACACACATGAAACGGGAGTATAAAATTTGTCAATATGTACCTAACCGCAGCCATTGATCAAAATCACTAGGGTCGCACAAGAAAAAAATGAAGTTACAGATGTCGTTTCAGCAGAATTTAAGAACATGAAAGTAAGTCCAGATTGAAATCGCTAAATGCATTTCCTGATACATGAAATTGGTAAGACTGCGGTCGGAACGAGACTATAATTTATGGGCGAACCAATCAGATATATGATATCTGGTGAGAAACTCAGTCATCTATTTGGTTAAATATCGTTTCTGGATTTTAGATGGTGTCATTTTGTGACAAAAACCCTAAGTCTAATTCCTAACCCAAACCATCAACCGTAAATCATAATTCTAATTCCTCACTATGGTTCATGACTCTCATTTAGTCCCATATAGTAGGTGGACATGCTCAAGGTCACGTTGGAATCGCTTAAAGGTCACCCATAAATTATAGTCTCACCACGGTCCGTCAGGATGCGATCCCGAGGCCTGAAAAGAGTACAAATAACAATCACATATGTTACCATCTGAATTGCCAAGTAACAGTTTGGAAAGCAATTTGTTCGTTTCATTGAGTTCTACAAAGTGATAAATACGGAAACGTATTTGAAAGATATCGCCGGAGAATTACACCCTATTCTAAATTATGGCTTATAAATAGAAATAAATAAATCGAAAATAGGTTGGATTGGGTTGCTACACGTGTTAAAAACCTAGCTACAGGAAATACACAGTCTGCGAAGTTTCAGAGAACACGTGCATTTACAGATTAAAGAATTGCTTAGGAGGGGAAAAATAGAAACCTCGGAAGTTTATTACCCTAAATCTCGCTTTACAAAGATAACGAAAAGTCTTGGAATTTCTTACTTCTTAAAATGATGGTGAGAGTAAGAGATATAAATAACTTACAAAAATATATAGAATTTCAGCTTAATTTACAAATTTTCAACGAAAGACTTTTGAGGTTTCAAAACAAGGGACTATATCTGTCGTTTTTGATCGATATGGCTATTAAACATTTTCTTATCTTAACAGTATTATTATTCTCAACTCCTAATACTAGTCTATGACAAATCTTACCCTAATCTCCAACTCTCAATACTTTCGATTATGTTTGATAATTCGCCAGATATATAGAACTTTTTCTACACTGTGATTTCCCAGCCTCGATGCTGGAACTTTTGCTATATATAAGTATCAATTTTTAAGTGGTTAAAAACTCTACGGTTGGTGCCGAAGTATGCTTTAGCGGCGTGGAATTATTCTGTACCGTCTACAACCATTTGAGAATGGGTGAATATAACAGGAAAAATTTACAAACTAAATCTTATTTGACATCTCAGTGACGATTCAGTGTTTTCTACAAAGAGTTATAAAACACGTTACTTACCAACTCCGTTTGCCAGATGAAACCTCAGATCAAAGTGGGCAGTATTCTAAGTTGCAAACAATAAGTAGGTTGTCATGAGATTAAGCAATTTCATCTGATAAAAAATCAGAAACTACAAAGTCCAGGATAACAACATGAAATACAAAAATCAATGAGCAGATTTAACAACAGTAACGTAACGTACAAACACTGCGCTTTTCTCTCAGTTTTATGTACAACATGACAATCAAATTGTCTTTTATCCTACCACAAAATCGATGTGGCCATATTTGTGCTCCAGAATCTTGAAAATGAACAACACTTAGGAGTATAATTCAAATATATGACATATTTTTGAGTCAAACAATATAACCGATGGTCTCTTTAAAAAAAGATAGTGATCCTAAGCACGAACTGAAACCAGAAACAAATTGGATGGAAACACGTCAAGAAATCCCATCGTATGGAATCTCTGCAATAAGAGGTCGTCCAATCGTGTCGAAAATTTATTGTCTCCAATGCATTGTACAAGTTATCCTACCCAGCTCTTTGATCGATCTTCACGTTCTTATTAGAACGACCTCGGTGGTATTATAGGAATGAACGAATGAGAAAATGGGCGTGTTCCCGTGTTAGTTGCCAAATATCTAACATGCGTAAGGATTCCAATTGGCGACCGGTGTCTGTGGGAACGAAATGCTTCCAGAGTTGCAGCCGCTATATGGGAGGATGGAAAAGTTATCTTCATCAGCCAGGTCTAGAACCACCGTCCTTTTGGCTAATGCCGCCACTTGTTAAGCCAATATTCTTTTGAGTTTCAAGGACTTCCTGATAATTTTCCATTCCCGAATATCAGAGTTTGTGTGGTCGGGGTCTGCGTTTTCTGGCACATCGTACACGATGATATTTCCTCCGCGACTAAACGTCTCACAATGCTTCTTAAGAATGTTCCGCATCAGACTACCCAGAATACGTTATATCAAGCAGTATTCTTAAATTCCCATCGCTAATCCTAGTATTAACAAGGTTAATACTTAATAACAACTAATACTCAGATATTATATTTAATTTAACGAGCACTGTGCTCACTTATTTTCATATCATGTCCAATAACTCCAGTAAAAGAGAAATTTCACCAACTTCTAAGCCAAATAAAAGGTCCGAATCTGTAACCCCTACAACTGACGACTCAGTGCTTGACAATGTCGAACCTTCAACTACTGAAAAATATGTGCATTGTACACAAATGTCTCTATCGTCACCAGATTCACCATGTCGCAGCCCCTCTATCTCTACGTCAATATGCCAACGGCAAGACTGGTTGACATACAAGACACTATACCTACGTGCATAGAAAAGTCAGCACAGCCTACTGGACAGTATGTGCTACCAAGGCCTAAATCTAACATTTCAAAAACTAAAGAGTCCAATGGTCCACCTCATACACACCAAAATACTGATAGATATAGTAATGACATCCGACAGCTGCAAAACTCTCTATCCGAAATTAACGGCAAACTTGAGAAATAAGCACCCCTTACTCATATATGGGGCCTTGACACAGACAGAAATCTTGAGCAACTCACTAAAGCTGAGTGTATTTTGGAGTTTGTGGCTGAAGAAGTGACGAAGAGAGTGATGTCCTCCTACAATGCAGTTGTGTATAACCTCCCCGACCGCACACACCCATCTAAGTTAAGGGATATTTGCCTTGGAGCATGCGGTATGCCGAACGTTAACTGCAAAGTCATCCGCCTTAGAAAAAAGTCAGACAGATCAACTTGCCCCCTTTTGTTTATGTTTGACTGTTGTAACGATGCCAAGCAGTTTATTAATTTCAGCAAAAATATTAGCTCACTAATTCTATACAAGAATATAAAAGTCACGCCAGACCTTACGCCCTGTCAACGTCGTGTAAGAAGACGCGAAGCGATAGAATTGAATGGGAGTGTTACAGTTAATAATCAGCCAGAGACAGTTTGCAACACAGCAAATAGTTTAAAACACACGAACAATAAGCATGACACCACTCCACATACGGCTGATCACTCTGTTGATTTAGATGAGTCTACAGATCGGAAACCTTTGGATAAGATACGGACCCCAACTGACTAGAAAAACCATAACGACATGACTAATCCCAGCTGTTCGTTCAGTAATGTACTAAAATGTGAGTCGTGTAACAACACACTTCCAAATAAACCTATACACTTGAAAATTTGTCCTCCTAAAGATATTCCCCAAGTAGACTCGAATGAACGTAAGTTCATCTCACAGAGACAACGAAAGACTCCAGCTCTGAGAATAAAGGGTGGGAAGACAAAACTCATGATACCGAATAGGGAAACACGTAAGATTGAACCCAACTGCTCTATAGGTATCCCAAGAACAGTGAATAGGTTCTCCCCGCTGTTATCGTATAACTTGCCTTCAACACCTCTAAGTTGCAAAATGGGTGGTGGGCTTCAGCGTAGCAAGCCTTCTTACACGCAGACTAACGAAAACTACCAGGGAACTGGCCACCCAAATCACCCCCTGAAGCCTAAAACCATAAATAAGAATGGTAATAATAGGTTTCTTACTCCACACCCTACCTACATTCCTTAGGATCGCAACTGTAATTACTCTCAGGAAGAAAGCTTCTCACACCCTTTAGTACCGACCCATCACATAACAACGGCTCCCATGTATAACTACAGTCGCAACTCCTCCCAGTTACGCGTAGCAGACCCCTCTCACGCTAACCTAAATAGCCATAACGGGGGCTACGAGTCTAACCATCAAAACCATTTTGTAAATAACCATACACTTCACAGTAAGCCTGTACAATATTTTTTTGGAATAAGACCCCTAGTGACACCTCTGTTGAAGCATATAGCCCAGGTTATTTCAAACCACATGCAAACCATAAATTTGTCTCCTCCGTACAGTTTCCATCAGAGAGTACTCCCACCCTTTCCTCCTGGGTAAACTCCCCAATCAACTTCACTAGCTCATTTGATACATCTTCCACTAAGTCTAGCTATCAAAATACCGAGCTAATGAAGAACATCCAATCCCTCACATCAATATCATCTCACACCCGCCATGGTTACGACGACTTTATCCGAGAAACCATCACCCATTTTAACTTAGTAGGCCACTTGCTTAATATATGTCTTATCAACGCTCGATCGATCTGCAACAAAAAGACGGATTTAGCCCTGTTTGTATCCATATATCAACCATCACTTATAATGATATCTGAAGCATGGACTAACAGTAATATTTTCGACCGAAGTATATCTCTTGATAACTATTTTCTATATAAAAGCGATAGATTGAATGGACGAGGCGGAGGATGCCTTATTTACGCTCACTCTAGCCTAAACTCACTGCTATGTGATATGCCTGAACTGAACAAACTGAAGGATTCGATATGGATTGTATTAAAGCCGTCGAATTCCGTTACCTTACTGCTCGGCTGTGTTTATCGTCAACCTAACGCATCAATAGATGAAATAGCAGTATTATCGGAGGTATTCACACTATCATCATCCCTCTCATTCACAGGCAAGCTCATTTGTGGTGACTTCAATATGCCCGAAATTTCTTGGCTGCCAGTCAAAGCACCGAGACGTTATGAATCATTTATTGAATGTCTAGAGCTTGGACAATGGACTCAATATGTCGATAGCCCTACCAGACATCAAAACGTCTTAGACTTAATCTTTACCAGTGGCCTCATCCTCAATACTTTGTATATTGGAAAAAAGTTCCCAGGTAGTGATCATAACATTGTCATATGCAGCCTTAATGTAAAAACCACAATCGGTAGAAGTAAAACCGTAGCACTTCGTAGAAACTATCGCAAGGTTGATTGGAATAACTTCCACAATTACCTAAGAAGCACTGATTGGAGAACTTTCTTTACCTCAAACAATACCGACACACTAACCAACATCAAAAGTATCATCAACAACATCGCACCTTTAGAATACTGTAAACCTACGTTCTCCAAAGATCTCTATATACCGGTCAGTACAAGAAGACGTCTTCAAAGACATTGTACTCGGTTCCACAGCTTAAATGACTTTTCCTCTTTATTATTATTATTATTATTCACAAACATCTTATGGGTACATAAGTGTTGTGAAGAAACAATTTCGGGTTTCTTCAAAAAATGCAATAATACACAATTTTCAATAATGTCAGCATTATACTTGCCATTTTAAAAAAATTAGAGCAATAATAGTAGAATATTAATAATAATAAATCGGGTCTGTGCAATTGAGAATATTGAATTGAATTGAAAGAAGGAAATGGAGAAAATAAGGGAATAGAAATAAAGGAGACGTGAAATACGCAAACAGTTTAATAGGCGTGTTTATGAACACAGAGCAAGAATAAACGACTATGTGTGTATCGTTAAATTAGTAACAAAAGTAATTAAGAAAAATAACTTATAATTGCAGTAAGATATGACGCTAGAATAAATGTTTGTGCAGTTATAGTTTGGAGTGATGCGATGAAAGTCTCAATTGAGTGAAAAGGATAATAAAATATCAATATGTATGAGATATATATGCATAGTGAATATAAAACAGGTCTGAAAAGTTAATGTAAGTATAACACAAGTTATTGTCTTAATTACAAACTTCGTAATCTTAAGAATAATATTTATTTAGAGGGAAAGAAGAGAGAAAAGAAGTGAACACTTAGTGAAACGTTTTGATCCATAATTGTGTAATGAATATCAACCTCAGAAGGAAACCAGCAATTGAAAAAATACAATAAAAATCCTCTAAAGCACTCGGATGAATACATTTAGATTTATGTAATAGTATACAGAGTGAAACCGGATATTAGTATAAATATTTGTGCAATAATAATTAAGATTGATGCTATGAAAGTCCCAATTGATTTTAAAGGACAATCTGGAGTTAAATATGTTTAGAAGGATAAGTAGATACAAAAAGAATATCTAATGTGTCGGGGAACTAATAATGATATTAATAACGGTAATAATGATAAACACGAACATAAGCAGATTTCATATATTAAGATAAATAGAAATAAAATAAAATAGACGTGGAAAGATTTAAAGGTTTTATTTTGCTTTTCACGCAATTAAATGAATGACGGACCTTGTTTGTATAAATCATTATTGAATACATTGATATTCAATAGGTGACATAATCCACTTTCGGAAAGAAAATCGTCAAGGAGACTTTTGAACCGGGT